AAGGGCTTCGGTCATTTACTCCAAATATACTGACTGATACTGACTGAACTCAAGGTTGGGTGAGAGTCGCCATCTAAATCAGAATTGATGGATCCCTTTTATATCATTGGCTTTAAATACTTGCTGGTGTCGCTTGACATCTGTCTATCTGTTCTTTACGACAGTTTGAATGTCATATTCGGCGCGCGTTACAGTAGACGTGCGCGGCACCTACCGCAGTATCTTCTCCCTCGCCCACCTCTGTCCAGTATCAAGACAAAGTCAAGAAGATCAGAGCCGGGATCTATTGTGGGTGACTGGCGCTGCGCGCTTTCACCTACGTGGGCCACCAGTCCCCATGTACTGCGTTTGTTATGGCAGCACATTCAGAATAATGCTTACCGTGCCTTAATCTAGCCCCCTTGTTGGTCCGCTGCACCTACCACGTGGCCCGCTTTTGGGGGCACGCATATATCTCTCACACGTACACAATTTTGATAGCTATGTTGAGGATGACCTCCGCTGCAACGACATACTTCCAGATAAACGATCAACTGCGAAATAGTTGGACTTGTGTGTTGTTGAATTCGCAAGGATGGCCGTTTCACCAGTCAAGTTCTTCATCCATGGCTGTATCAAACGTGCGTTACGACGAATAATTTAAAATCACCTGACGCCAAATTCGTTTTGCTTTACCTGACCAAATCTGATTGTAGTGGCCAGTATCCTTTGGCATTGGACTTGGGTTTTTGCACATTTTCCTAATTTTATTCGTTGTTGATATCAATTAACTTTTTTTCCACATGTAATCAGCCGTCACTTTCTGTCTTAACTGACCTTTCCTCAATCTCTTTCTCTGCTATAGCTAATCCGTGTCAACGAGGAGGGTGAGGTTGTCGAACGTGAAAATCGCACAACCAAACCTGTAATCCACATTCGCATCACAGTCTCCAGTCCCTCTCCATCTCCAGTCCTAGACGCCCTAACTTGCGGCGGCTCCGAGCTTCCTGTCCCTCTAAATAACTTTACGGTCCACCATTTTGCTTGATCACGTTGTCTTTTGTAACTGGCACGAAATCAATAAAACTCAGTCCGTGTCGTAGTCTTTCTCTTCTGATTTCCTATCTCACAATCGTTGCTGAGATGTTTCCTGACGCGCGCGCTGTCTCCGATTACCTTAATTTGCCGCCTTCCGACCTGTGTGTGCACTTGCTTGCACAATGTCACTAGTGCTTATGCATTTTCCTCTCATCAGGTATAGTAACTGCTGATGGTAGAGGTCGAAAAGACACAAAATAGGCTCTTTGAGTCCGTGGTCTCACCGTCTACAGTCAGTTATGTTCACCTCACCGTGATTTCGGTCAGAAGAGGTGAAAGAGAGTAGGAAACTTCCGTAATTTCATTTTCTGCGTGCTGTTTAAATGCTGAGTCCGGGCCGATTAAGTGTGGAGGGCCTTCACTAGCCGTTAGATCACATGCTCACGATTGAACCACAATTGTTTCCCCTCATTCTTAGTTGCAAAACTTTCTTGTAACCTCGTAAGAAGAGCGTGCTGTGGGCTGCGTCTGCATTCGAATTACTAGCATGGCTGTTGCTTCTGGTTAGTCTACTGGCAGGAGCCTTTCCCTTTCATCATGCATACCACTTCAGACCATGGCGTGCCATTTTTTCATTATTGTCCGTTGTGACATTAGTCCCACATCAGCACAATTTCTTTGGCTTGCATGCAACTCGATCAACCCGATTGGATTTCTGAATTTGAGTGGGATTGCATTTGTTTAGTTCTGTTTTACGACGACGAGGACTTGGCGGGTTTTGTGGGAGCCAGGTTCTGTACGGTACGCGTGGTCAGACTGTTTAAGTTGGGCATCTACTACGCCCGATCCCACCTTCGGTTTTCTTGAACTTTTCTCAATAACGGGTTCGGGGGGAGGGGCGGGGGCTTGGAGAATGCGGTATTTGCTGCGCAAGTCCACTAGAACGTAGTTCACGCGCAAGCCACCGTCCATGCGTTCTGTCTTGATTTTCTGATTAGGTAGTCGGGAAAAATGAGGAGCGAGTGGGTGAGTGCCCTAATGGGCATATGCGGTATTTATGCCTGTCCAAAATTTGTTCTGTTTGCCCTCGATAAATTCTGTCCGACACCCAATAGCTCTCTAAAACAGGACTAGTTTTTGTTAGGTTCTCGGAGACGGCCATAACATAGAACTCTCAAAAGGCCACACCGTCGTATCCTTGCTCATAGCCGGTTTACAGCTCGGAAAGTGTGGAACTTACTTTAACAGATTTATCAAAGTATTCTGGTAGAAAAAGGCATCATACTCGTTAGTATAACACAAACGTTCATAAAGGAGACGTATAGACAGAGGCAAGGGGGTGCAGCGGTCACTTCTAGCTTTTTAATCATCATCGTGAAGCAATACGTTAACCCGAGACCCGACAAACATGGGACTGGGGCCCACATTCTCAAAGAAAAGTAGCACACCAGTGTTTCATCCCACAATCTGGCTGGGTAGATGCACAACGCACTAGCCTAGAGGGAGGTTGGGTAGGCTAAATTCGTCTACATTGACGTTTGTATTCGTGGCAGTGCAGGCCTATTGAGACCTAGGTATTGAGTGCATACACATACACCAGATGACTGATCTGGACTCCTATCTCTGTCACCACTGTGAATATACCCCAATCTTCATTAGCG